TGTTCGTGGAGTCCTCCAACTTGGGCGGAAACCACTCAAGCCTCTTATACGGCTAGCAAGCCAATCACTAGCTGCCACGTATGAATAATTTAGAACTGGCAATAATGGGACTCGAATTAGCATACAAATGGCGGGAACTCTTTGCAACGAGCATTTCTGTGCTGCAACAAAGAAATGCACCCTGCAAAGAAAGCTTCAAATTGGCGGGAAATTCTCCCTTGCACCGGGGTTCTCTTTTGCAGCAGAAAACTCCACTGTGCAAAGAAGCTATAATTTAGCGGGAACAATTTAGCAGTGCCGAAGCACACAAAAACAAAAATCACACCCTTTGGGTTGTGACACATTTGTCCCCATAAATCAGTTGCTACTTGCCTGGTAGTCTCCCTTTCTGAGGAAGGCTTTTAGTTTTACATGGGCACTGGCCCACAATCCCTCAAAGTGGCAAACAGGCCTGTCTCTCACAGTCTGGTGTGCTCTGCTTGGCATCCCCCCTCGACGCACTCATTTTTATCCTATAAACTTCACTGCTGCTCCTCTTTTGTCTTGTATTTGTCCCATGAGTTCAGCTGACACATATCCAATAACTCCCTCTATTAACACGGGGAACTAACTTTCTCTGTGGGCTAAAGGCCCTGTGTGTCAAACAGGCTTATGCCACACAGCCCAGCATACTCTGCTTGGTGTTCCCCCTTGGGGCACTTGTTTTCAACCTATGACCTCACTCCTGCTCCTGTTTTCTCTTTAGTTCTCCTCCCAAATCAACTGATGTATAACCAATAGCTCTCCCTGCCCCAATATCCTACCCTGGGGGTCTTCAAAAGGAGGCTGGATAATCACCTAGCCGGGCTCGTTTGACCCCAGCATTCTTTCCTGCCCATGGCAGGGGGGGCGGACTTGATGATCTACTTGGGTCCCTTCTGACCCTACCTACTATGAAACTATAACAGGGCAGAAGCCAATGACAATGCGCAGGGGGTGCAAAGGGGTGCATGTGCACCTCCTGAGAGCACTGGTGCAACCCTTGACAGCCAGCGGGGGGCCCCTGACAGCCAGCATTCCCTTAGGTGACAGGTTGGGGGGCAGGTGGGAGCACTTGTGCCCTCCCTGAGAGCGCCAGCCGCGGAGTAGGGGTGCCAGGAGAAGCGCTGCTGGCACTTCTGGTTGCTGACTAGCCACTGGGGAGCAAGTGTCCTCCCTGACTCAGGAGGCACCAATCGTCCATGATGGAGTATAACTATTACGCCATGGGCATCAAGCCTGCATTAACCCTGTGTGTCAAACAGGCCTGCGTCACACAGCAGCAGACAGGAAGAACGAACTGGCTACAACCAGGATTTTTTCCTTCAACTGTTCCTCTTTCACTTGCAGCCTCCAGTACTTACGCATTTATACACGTGATCTGGGAGTGGAGGGGTGGGGCGCTTTAATTACAGCACTCTAATTAAAGTGCCCCGAGCGTCACGCGCACCAGTATTCCTGCGATAAAAAATGGCAGCAGGGGAGCTTAAACGAGCTTTAGTTT